GGGGACAGGACTATGGCATTTGGAGATTCTTGGTTTAAACTCCTTCATCAGAATGAGCACTAAACTTTTGAGACCCAGGCAGAGATACCAACTACCAAGTGGCCCCTTGAGCCTGAGAAAGTGGATTGTGACATACTCCTGCCTCCAGGCTCTTCTCCAGTACTACTGCCCCTGCCCCTCCTCCCACAACATCCCAGCTGTGGTTACTCTTCTACCACAAGCTCTGTCTCACACCAGAGCCTTTAAGTCCCTGAGAATAAAACTACATTTCCTTTTTTTTTTTCCTCAGCAAGTTACAAAGAGTATAGTATACAGTTGGTGCTGCATAAATGTTAGCGGAAGGGCTATGCTTCCAACAGGACTTGCATACCCCTGTAACAAAACACACGAGGCATTACCCTCTATACTCTGCATTTTCTCCTTTGGGGCTTTCTTGTCTGTGCCCTGGGAGTCCACGGAGATCAGGTGAAGTCTACCTCAGCAGTCCAGGACCATGGGCTAGCCCTAAGTCTCCACCATGGCTGCCCCAGGATGAAGCCAACTTAGAGGAAAGTCAAAGGTGGGGTAAGACCACAGGTTCTTTGAGTACCTGATCCATCTGGGGCCATTCCAACCATGAGCTTGATGACTATCAAACAGGGGGGCCGATGAAGTGAGCCCCAGGCTAGCCTCAGGAAAACCAGGTCACACCACTCCCCACTCCGCACTCCCCACTCCCCACTCCCCACTCCCCACTCCCCACTCCCCATCGAGATGTGTGTCCACTTGAATTTCCTCTGTGAGAGACATCCATGTAGATGGAGTGTTTCTAGTACCCACCCGTCGTGAGCCTCTGTGCCAGCAGTGGATCAGAAGCTAGGACTCCCAGATTCCCCAGGCTCTGTTCCTGGCCCCTCACAGCCTCATTCATCATCTGGCTCAGAACCTCTAGGCACACCGTTGTCTATGCCTCTGTGTGCCTGCCCACTCCTCACTTGCCTGTCTCCTACATCCCTCCGTTCCCTAGGCTGACCCAGCCCAACTTCTCAGCTGCCAGTCCTTGCCCTCTGGAACGTGTGTCCCAGACTCTCATCCTTCCTCTGCTCCTCACTGAATGAAGCTCCCTATCTGCAGGCCAAGCCTCAGCCTCCTCCCTAACTCCCCAGGCTCTGAGACTCGCTCATTTGCTCATTTACCTCCCCTCTCTCTAACTCCCTTCTCTCCCTCACCCTCTTAAGAATGTAGCTCTAGCCTGCTTCCTCCTACTCCTGGAGGAATCTTAAAATTGTTCTAGGAGATTCTAAGTCCGTTCGATGCTCCCTCCAGGGACAGGCCCTGGCCACCTCACTTCCAAGAACCTGAACCTGGTGTGTGAGGGTGTTTGCTTTCCCAGTGGCTGAAAATTAAAATCCTGCTGGGCTTCTGCACTAATCACCCCCAATAACTGAAAGGAGGCGGGATGGTAGAGGGGCTTCCAGTATAGGACGGACAGAGAGGAAGGAAGTTCTGAGTGACACCAACTTTCCACCCAGCCTCCCAAAGGCAGGCCAAGGACTGCACTCTATTCCCAAGCCCTCAGCTCTGTAGGCTCTGAAGCCCCTCCAGTCTCTGTGGCCCCAAGAGGTAGCAGACATGGTGTGTCGTAGCTCCTGGCTGTGCTCCCTGCCACTGATGAGAAAGCTTCTTTTTCCTACACACACACACACACACACACACACACACACACACATACCTACTCCCCTTGGCTCTGGTGCCATCATCCATTCTGAGGCTGTGTGGCTCCCAGGGGCCAGTTCCACAGAGCCATAGATAACGAAAGGAAACCACACTGACTGTGGCCAAGCACTCTCCTTCCAACCAGGAGGCTGGGAAGCATCTGCTGAGGCTCCCTAAGTCAAAGCGTGGCCAGACAGGGCCATCATTGAGTCCGCGGCAGCCTCATCAACCAAAGATCACACCAATAATTTCTAAAACCCACCCGATGATTTGGGGCCCATTAGCATAATTTGATGTATCATCTGTGCATCGACTTTTCACTGGGTAGGCAGTTTCCTAGCACACTTGGCGTGTGGGGAAACTAAAGAGGAGGCATTTGTCTTGTCTCGAGGAGTCATTTGTACAATCTTCCCTGTTACCACGTACTTTCAGTGGCACCCCTCCTCCCCCAAGACACCTTGGCCTTGGCACGACTAGTCACCCAGCACTCCACACTCTGCCGGTTGTATCCTACCCATTCTCTACCATGTCCCCTCACCCCAAAAAGTACTTTACCCAACTCCCATCTACCCAAGGCTTCACCTGCTGGGTACCCTCAGAACCTCAGCTCCATCTACAACACACATGCTCCCGCACACGTGCACACATACACACACACACACACACACACACACAAACAGAACAGTGTAACTCAAGTGGCATTCAACCTTCCTGATGCTGCGACACTTTAATACAGTTTCTCATGTTGTGGTGACCCCCCCCCCAACCATTAAATTATTTCTTGGCTACTTTATTGTTTTGCTCCTGTCATGAATCACAGTGTAAGTATCTGATAGGCAGGGTATGCGATGGGGTCCCGACCCATTGGTTGAGAACCACTGCTGACACAAGGCGGGAGGAAGTGAGGAGGGTTCGGTGAGAGCTCAGGCAGCAAGACAAGCAAGTGTATAGAAGGAGCTACCACAGGTGAGGAAGACAGAGACACACCAAGAAGGGGAAGGTAGGTGGGAGGTGAGGCCGGAGATACAGGGCAGAGCATGGGCTGTGAAAGATGCACGATTTTCCTTGTGAGTCTGGGAAGGTACACAAGTTGGAGAGGTATGATGTCACTTGCATTTTCAAATCTTGGGAAGGAGAAGGCTCAAAATGTAACAGTGGGTGACTTAGGGTGTCGTGCGCACACTTGCCTGGTGCTCTGAGTGTGAAGACAGGGGTGAAAGGCACTGAGGTACCAGCAGGGGCGGTGAGGACCGGTCAGGATGATGACTGTGCTTTCCTGGGAAAGGGGGAACCAAGGAGAGACTTTCACTGTTCTTCCTGCTGCTTCTAGAGAGCCAGGCTGAAAGGAGTGAGTGTGAGCACAGGACTGTGGTACAGCTCTCTGTAACAGCCACCAGGATGTGGCTGGGATTCAGCCACCCAGACATGGGCCTTGAAAGGGAGGGCAGGCTCTTCACACTTCACCTCACAGCCTCCCCTCTCCTCCTCGGACATTTCTTTCAGGCTGGGCCTATGCAGAGCCACCAGGGCGAGCGGGGATGAAGCACAGGAAGACGCAAGCAGGAAGCATGTGTGGATAAGACTCAGGAAGGGTTGGGCCCTTGTGTGGGACACCAGGAGGTCCTACCTCCAGCCTTGGGCTCCAGACTCGATTGTCCCCAGGCTCTTAGGACCTTGGTCTCAGGAGCTCTCTGTGTCTCCTGTGCATAGTCCTCCTACGGTCGCCTGTCACAGAGTTGTACTGATGAAATATTTGTCAGATCAAATGAAAAGAAAATGAAAGTGCTTTGAAAAGCGCTTCAGAAGGGCTGGGGTTTGGAACTGAAGAGGAGGGAGACATTAAGCGCTGTCACAAGGGTCTCCCTAGTGGAGAGCGAGATGCACAAGCCTGGATCCTGGGAATAAGGTATCAGGGTGGTACAGGCCTCTTGCTAGCATCCTCAAATGCAGGAGGGTGGAGAGGAGGAAGAGAGTGGGGATGAAGAAAGGAAGACCAAAATCCTTAGAGAAATTACAGATCCAGAGAATATACTTTCAGGGATCGTTTCAACAGTTCTGTATCAGCAATTATGGATTGATTTTGGCCTTACAAAGCTAGGTTAAGTAGCCAGAAGATCCAGTGTGTTCTTCATGTGCGTGCGTATGTATGCATGTATGTATGTGTGCACATTGCATGTATGTGTGTGTATATTCATGTCTGTACATATGTGTACATATGTCTGTGTGGATGAATGTGCACGCACGCGCTCCAACAGAGAAACTGAGTCAAGTGAAGAAAGCTGAGCTGGATAAGGCAATCTGAGCCATCTTTCCTGCTGAAACTGGAACTGGACTGGAACCAGCCTTGACTTCAGGGCTGCTGGGGACAGTGCTGGGTAATGCACAGAGCAGACCAGAGCCAAAGCTGACACTCTGCTGCCAGCAAACTGAATCCCAGCTGTCAGTTTGTCTGCAGGTCCCTTCCCCCCATGGCTCCTTCCCTCTCTGTGTGAATGCTGCTGACAAGCTACCCAGCCCTGTCCTGACACTTAACCAGGACCAATTCTCAACAAGCAAAAGCCTAGAGTCAAAGGCCAGCATTTGAGTCCTTGTTGCGCTCCGTTCCAGCCTGCTAATCTGGTCCTAGTCCCGAGGTCCTTGAGACTCAGTTCCTCCATCTGTGAAATGGGCTGATAACACTTCTCACATGGGTGTCTCATTGCCATGGTGACCTATAGTTCACAAACTAAAAACTAGCATGGTGGCTCAGGCCTATGACCCTGTGCTTGGAAGGTTAAGTCAGGAGGGTCATGATGAACATCAGGCCAGTCTGGGCTACACAAGAGGCCTAGGATCCAAAAAGGAACTTGGTAAATGGCCAGCTCCCAGCTCAGAACTGCTGGGGTAATGTGTCTGAGAGGTGAATTCCCTACCAGTGCAGATGGTACATCTTCTTCTAAGGGGTTGTCTGTCCTGTCAATCAAGGGTCTGTCTTCTTGGGAAAGAATCTGGGGCTTGCAAAGAACTGGGTGACTCCCTGCCAAGCTGCAACCCTCTACCATCCTACTAGCCTGCTAAGCCCATTCCCCACCCCCTCGGCATAGTCTCTAACCCAAAATCAAACCTGGGCTCTTCAGATGGCAGTGAGGGAGGTGGGGACGGAAGGCAGGGGTTGATTCTGAGCCTCAGCTCTGGGCTCAGGACTGTAGGGTGTGCTGTAATCCAGGGGGATGATGCCTGGGGAGACCATGGTGTCCAGAAGGGGCAGGTGGGTTCCGAGCCATGCTACCCAAGCACTCACTCGCCCCTTCTGCATTATCTTGCAGGGAACTTCAAAGGTTTGTGCAAGCAAATCGACCACTTTCCGGAAGACGCGGACTACGAAGCTGACACGGCAGAGTATTTCCTCCGTGAGTCACGCACGGTGTTTTAATCTCCCTTCAGCTGAAGGGTCCCTCAGTTTGTTCCTTCTGAGGATCAAAGGTCAGGCCTATTTGGTACCCTGGTTACAGCAAGGGCAGGAAACTGCTGCTCTCTCTTGACTGGCCAACTCCTACTCATCCCCCAGGTCTCCTAAAACCTCACCTCCTCCCTGAAGCCACCCCTTTTCTCAGGGGTTCCCAGGAACAGACCTTCATCTTGATGAGGGTTGGAGGGGATGTCTTTGTCTGCTGAGTAACATCCCCCAGTTCTGCAGATAAGGGACATTCTCTTCCAACACAGGGCATGGCCTAGAATAGGAACTCAGGAAATATTGCTCTCAAATAATAATGAAACCAGCTTGTACTCAGGAGACAGAGAGAAGGGAGAGAATTTTCCCTTCCCCCACAAGTCAAATCAAAGTTAAATCCTGGTGTAACTGCTGTGATCTTTAAGTCTCCCTGTGACATATTATCAAGAGAAAGCATTTTTGAAGCCCCAAGGAAATTTCTCAAGCATCCCCAGAAACCAACACAGACCTTGTTAGTTATCGAAAGGGATTTGCCAGAGAGGAACTGAGGGTCCTTGAGGCACGCTGAAGGCTCTCAGACGGCTGGGCTCCATGGAGGGGTTTGCTTACAGAGTCCCAGGAACTGCTGCCCCCACCCCCGCCCCTGGACCTGAGTGTCTCTCCTCTTCCCTTCACCAACAGCTTCCCAGTGAGCATCACCCCGGATCCAGGGAGGCACTTTCTTACCTGAATTGCTCCTGTCTCTTTCAATAATAACTACTCATATCAGAGGTGGCAGCTCGCAGGTCAGCCTAGAATCTGGTTTCCCTGAAAAGTCTGTGGAAAGTGAAACTGGCGAGGCAGCCAGAAAGGGACAGAAAAGGAGCAGGACACGATTTATAGATTATTTATTTATTTATTTATTTATTTACTTATTGGTTTGGGGTTTTGGTGGTGGTGGTGGTGGTGGTGGTGGTGGTGGTGGTGGTGGTGGTGGTGGTTTTGTTTTGTTTTGAGACAGGGTTGCTTTGTACAAGAGCCAAAGCTGTCCTGGAACTCCCTCTGCAGTCTGGGCTGGCCTCAAACTCACAGAGATCCACCTGCTTCTGCCTCCAGAGTGATAGAATTAAAGGCGTGCGCATCCACGTTCAGTTATTTATTGGTTTTCAAATACAGGGTTTCTCTGTGTAGCCCTGGCTGTCCTAGAACTTGCTCTGTAGACCAGGCTGGCCTTGCACTCAGAGATCTGCCTACCTATGTCTCCTAAATGCTGGGATTAAATGCCTGTACCACCAAGCCCAGGTAGTTGGAAGGGAGTCTTGGGGAGGGAGGGGGAATATCATAAGAGAGTTATCATTACCTTTTCTGAATTCCTTCAAGATTTTGGTCTCAAGTAGAATTCCCACAGGGCTGTCTGGATGTCAGTCATTAACTACTGTATCTGGAATCAGCCAATGCAATTAACATGGATTGGGTACCTGCTGTATACTCAGCCTGTACTGAGTAACAGGGAGGCCAGGATGGACCTGTGCGACAGTGTCTGATGCCAGTAAGAGAAGGCATTGTGTGTGTGGGGGATGGGCAGTGGGGATAAGATCTCAGAGACACCTGATCAGGTGTGATAGAAACAAGACCTGAATTTGGAAGTCGAAGGTCAAAACTGAGCTCCACCCTAGAATAGACACACCTGGACTCCGGGTCTCACCCGGCCAATCACAGTGAGGTATTACACATCATCAGTCAGACAGGAAGCACCTGGAGGCAGTTTGTCTCCTTCAGTACAGGACCCAGAATATAATGGTTCCTCAATAAATAAATACCTCTCATGAAATACATGATTCCTCTGGAGCACACTCTGATGTGTTGAGTCTCTGTTTCCTTCGAGTTGAAGAGAGAAGCGAGAAGCGTCTGGGGTACGGGTTCACCTTGTCCCTGTATCAAGAGTGGGATTTGTGTCCCGTGGAACCTAAGGCCTGACTTAAGTTCACTGAGCAATGCAGGGGTTCTAGAGCATGTATAACAAATGAACAGATGTTTTCTGATGAGACAGGAAATGTTTTCAGCTGTTTAAGCCACACTGACTCCATCCCAGCCACACACAGTGAAAGCCTCTTTTCTTTTCTCACGTAGCCAGGCTGGACTCAACCAGCTTCTGTCTAAGTTAGGGTGTCATCACTGTGAAGAGACACCATGACCACGACAACTCTTACAAAGGCAAACATTTCACTGGGGCTGGCTTACAGGTTCGGAGGTTCAGTCCATTATCATCATGACAGGAAGCGTGGCAGTGTGCAGGCAGACCATAGTGTTGAAAGAGCTGAGAGTTCTACATCCTGTTCTGAAGACAGCCAGGAGGAGACTGAGCATAGAGACCTCAAAGCCCACTCCCACAGTGACACACTTCCTCTAACAAGGGCACACCTACTCCAACAATGCCACACCTGCTAATGGTGCCCTTCCCACAGGCCAAGCATATTCACACCATCACACCTTCAAGTTCCAAATGCCCTTTGTTTGTTTGTTTTTGTTTTGTTTTGCTTTGCTTTGTTTTGAAGACACGGTTTCTCTGTGTAGCCCTGGCTGTCCTGGAACTCATTCTGTAGACCAGGTTGGCTTCAAACTTAAAAGAGATCCGCCTGCCTCTACCTCCCAAGTGCTGGAACTACAGGTGTGAGCAGCTATGCCTGGTTTTTATTAGATGCCACTTGTTAAGGAAAAACAGACGCAGAATTTTTCGTGGTACTTCCTATGATGGTGTGGGTGTTCTGGCCCTGAGCTATGTAACGTGGTAGTCTGAGGTAGACAACATGGCTCTGGAAAGGTTGAAGCCATTGCTCCTGTCAGTTTATGCAGCCAGGGGAGCTGGGAGGCAGGGCTAATTTCTCTAGAACAATCCCTGACCCCCTATATTTTTTCTGGTTCAAAAGCCCCTCAAAGGCCCCTCTCACTCCCTGTCTGTATCTCCATCTCACACCTGCCTTATTACCACACACTGCAACCCCCCCACCCAGCATCCTGGCAAGATGTATGTGTCTTAGTCTCTGACCCATGCATTTCTTCACCCCAGCATCCAGCACAGAGCCTGATGGGGAGAGAGGGTTCAGTAATGTGCTTCACTGACAGACCAAGGAAGTAACTGGACAGGAAAATGAGTGTGGAGTAAGTCATGGTGACATATTACCAGGGACAAAGCAGGAACAAAGTGGAGCCTAAATCAGCCTAGAGTCCAGATCAGTCAAACCCACCACCTTAGTTCACCTGGCACTTGATAAGCTGGGAGAGGGACAGAATTTGCCTGAGGGCTAGCTATCTGGGGAAAGACTAGGGACCTGTCTTAGCTAGGGTTTCATTACTGTGAAGAGACACCATGACCAAGGCAACTCTTATAAAGGAAAACATTTAATTGGGGCTGGCTTACAGTTTCAGAGATTCAGTCCAAAATCATCAATACCAGAAGCATGGCAGCTTGCAGGCAGACTTGGTGTTGGAAGAGCCTAGAGTTCTACATCTTGATCCAAGGGCAGACAGGAGGTGGCTCTCATTCCACACTGGGTAGAGCCTGAGCAGAGGAGCCTTAAAGCCCACCCCCACAGTGACACATTTTCTCTAAGAAGACCACACCTGTTCCAACAAGGTCATACCTGCTAATAGTGCCATTTCCCAATGGGTCAAGCCTGCTCCTCCATCACACTTCTCACAGGGGCATTCACAGAAGGATTTCCTAAATACATTAGCCGAGTATAAATTTTGGTTCTAAAAAGAGCATTCATTCATTCATTCATTCATTCATTCACTGTGACACACTAAGTACTCACTCTGTGCTAGGCTTCGCTAGGTACTATTGTCAGTGTGAGAGATCTCAGGGTGAACCAAGAGACAGCTAGGCCCTTTGGGAGAGCTGTGTCCTAGTGGAGGCAAGATGCAATGAGCCAGAGTCCATGGTCCTGCCTGAGATGGCCTCAGTGAATGGAATGGGGAAGGGCAGAGGAAGGGCTGTCATGTAGACAACGAACCAAGACAGCCTTTCTAGGTGAGGTCAGGAGAGACAGGAGGTTTCTAAGGAAGAGATGACCTAGCAGAGGGAATCACCAAGCAAAGGTTTTGAAGCAAGGATAGTACCCCATCTTTGGGCAACACAATCAAGGCCAGCCTAGCTGGAGTCCAGCCTGCAACCAAGAGAGGAGAGACACAGAAGGGTCCCAGCCTGGTGGGTCTGGGGAGTCAGATGTCCTTCTGAGTGAGGTGGAGACTGATCTGGAAAGGGCAGCTAGCCATCAGAGTCAGAAGACTAAAGGGAGTAGTGGAGGCATGGAGGCCAGTTCCGGCTTTAAGGGGTAGACACAGTGCAGGCCACAGAGAGGTAAACCAAGATGAACCCAACAGAGTTGGGGCAGCCAGAGACCAGGATGGGCTGAAGGCAGGACAGCTGGTAGAAGGTTCAACATTGAGTCCCCAAGTAGAGAATTCTGAACAGGACAGGGTGGAAGGCAGGGAGGGAAGATGCTCAGGGCAATAGAAAGGGCTCAGCCAATAGAGATGCCAGAGCCTGCCCCTTCAAGGCAGCTCTACCTTTGAACCTCTGGATTTGAAAGAACAGTCGCCATGCAGGGTTGGCTTCTTAAAGGTAGTGTGCGCCCCAGTGGTTACAGAATCACAAGCCTGTCTGACTTATCTTTCCTGTTGCTATAATAAGGCACCCTAACAAGAGTACCTGAAGGGAAAAAGGATTTATACTGGTTCACAGTTCAAGACTACAAACCATCATGGCAGGAGAGTCAAGGCACAGGGAACTTGAAGCAGCCAGTCCTATCACATCCACAGCCAGGAAACAGAGATCGATAAACACAGCTGCCTCCCAGCTCTTTCTCTCCAGGATCCAAGCCGGGGGAATGGAGCCACCCATGGTGGGCAGCTCTTCACACCTCAATAAAATCAAGATGACCAGACAGGCACACCCAGGGACTCATCTCTATCAAGTTG